ACCTGATTGTAAGACGGAAAAGCAGCATCGATAAGAATGGAGACTATTTCATTTAATAAATGTTTTGTTTTGATATACAAGTCGTTTGAGTATTTTCGTCTAAAAAAAAGACGACATTCATTTCTTGACGACCTAATATAAATAATAATCAGGTTTTTAAAGACGTTACAATGTAATAAAATATGATTGTATGCATAACAGAATTTTTAAAAAGAATAATTGGGCTATCTGCTGTGTCTACCGCGAGGAATCGAACCAATGATTTTAATGTTGTAAGTTCTTAAACTTACCGCTGTCGTCTCGCAGGGGGACAAGAGAGATGTGGCATATCGCTTATAATTCTATGATAGAAAGTGTTGTTTATGTTACGACAGCGGAAGTCACGTGACGCTGCTGGAGTTTTTTTTGGGTTTTCTTGGTGATAATGTGATTTGTTTATTTCCAAACCAAGCTTTTAAATTTTTTCGGAAATTATTTTTGGCTATCATTAATATTGATTTTAACTCTAGAGCAATGTGTTATTAAGAAAAGAAAAATTTGGGCTTCTTTTATGTTATCTTTATGATTATTCTTAATTTCCTTTTTAATTTTAACTACCTTTGAAACTTCTCCCTAATGCATTTTCCAGATAATGAAACGTCTAAAGCAAGCTTTTAATTCTATCAGTCTTAATTGTTCAACTTCCGTGTTAGAAACAATAGAATTCTTTGAGCTTTTCAAAGTGGAATATTTAAATTTGTAAGTAAAGGATGATTATTGTAAACGTCTAAATACTGGTGTGAATTAACAGGTTTATACCAAAAAATACTATAGTGTTACGCCTCCGTTCCGTAAAAATTCTTTCCGAAGAAACTTTACCGATACAAGTCCTGTCTTAAATAAAACTGGTTTATTCTTTCTGAATACAACTTTGCAATACACTTAATTTCCACATTCGCGCTATAACAAACGCTATAATTCACAGCGAACGCCTCACGTGCTCGACTCAACAATATGTCTCTCTCTGTCCACAGTTCAATTACATTGTTACCGTCACGTCTTGACCGGTTTATATATACAAGACTACCACATATCTGGTAGACTCTCGAGATTTCAGGAAGGGACGTGAACATTCGAGAATATGACGTGTTACTAGCGTCACGTGACCCCCGCTGTCGTAACAATAGTTTTAAATTTTGGCATTAAAGTTAGAAAATAAAAAGCAACAACAAACTACCTTTACTCTTCAGATAATAGTAGTAACTAGACCACCGTGACCCGTTTAAACTTTTTCGTGTGCAGACAGATTACAGTTCAAACTGGTTACCTTTTTTAAACAATTTTTATATAATGATGAAAGAAACTAACAGTTCACATTTCGCCATTGCGATTCATCAGGGTTAGTAGTACAAAATTAGTTTTACCGCACTAGTGACATAATTTTGAAATAGATAAATCCATTAAATTGTATTGTCATTGATAAGAATCTGCAATAAAAAGCATTTAAACTTTTTCCTATGCAGACAGATTAGAGTTTAAACTCTTTACATATGTTTTGAATTTTCATTTAACAAAGTTCTTTATATTACTTTTCTTTTAATATGGTATCACTTAATATTGCTAAGTTTTTTGTTATTATTGGATTACTTTATTCACAACTTGTGTTTGATTGATGGTTAGTTTTTAATGCGCTTGCGCATTCTTATCCATCCATTCATAGGTTTATTTTATCAGCTGATGATTGGTTAGACTTTCGAGAGTATTTTATGTTTTGTTACAACAACCGTTAGGATAAACAACTGATATGAATGCAATAAGGTTGATAGCTTAATGCCTATATTTTTTATAATGTATTTTGCTGAATTAGGAAATTTTGGGTTTAAAACATTATGTAATGGAACTTAAACTAAAATAATAATATATATCGATCAACTTAATTATATGCAGTAAGTAGTAATACTATTATGATTAATACCGTAATACGTAATAACGTGTTTGTTACTAGTTCTTACCACAGACGGATAGACATACGGTTAGTATTATATGGTATTGATAGTGATAGAAAAGTGCAAGTAATTCTTGATTACTTAAAGAAATGGTTACTGTGTATGTAGATGCATTTTTAAGTATGAATGTAGCATATCTGGATTTTCAGAAAACATTTCACAAGGTGCCACATAGAATTAAAATACTAGTTAAAACATTGTCTCTGAAGTGAAGGTGTGTACTGTAACTTGTAAGATAGGTTGGCTCATCGGATAGAAAACTGGCTAGATGGAAGAAAGCAGAGAGTTGTTATACATGGAGCTCAATCAAACTGGGTTAATGTCACAAATGGTGTACCTTAGGGCTCTCTGTTAGGATCTTTGCTCTTTTTGATTTATATCAATGACATTGATGAAGGAATGGTCAATAGATTACTTAAACTTACTGATTACATTAAAGTTTTGGGTGTTGCTGGCTGTGATGTAGGATATGACAATAGAATTTTGATGGAAATAAATTTAACAGTGTTATAGAAGACACAAGATCAAGCAAATAATTTGATATATCTGCTAATGAAGGAAATAAAAGTTGTATCTTTTTATTGAGCACTAATAATCTACAGCAGCAATTTTGGAACTTTGTCTCATGACAATAGTTGTTGTAGCAAGTTCATAGGGGTGTCGTGAGAGTTTCATCAAAACACTGTGCTGTTGCTAGTGGTAGGTCAATTAGGCTTTTAGGCTATAGTGGCAGGCTATAGCTACAGAAATATTGAATACAAGACAAAATAGGTTATAATATTATTGTATATGTCATTTGTCAGGCTACATTTGGAGTATTGTGTTCAGTATTGGCCACTACTAAAGAAAGACAGTGAATTGCTGGAAAGGATTCAGAAAAGGGCTATTAGGAGTAACAGAGTGATTGACTTCTCAAATTGATTGTGTTTGGATGTAATGGATGGAATTAATTTAGGGGAATTTAAGGGAAAGATTGATAGGTACTTAAATCAATAAATGATAAGCGCAGGCTTAGAGGTTTTTTGTAGGGTTTAGTTTCATTTAGTGGACAGGACAGCCTAGCCGGAACAATAGGTCTCTTTAATGTTATTTTATAGGTTAATTATCATTAGTTAAATGTGTTTTAGTGTGATTTAAAGGTGAATAAAAACCCTCAATGAATGTATCTTATTATGTGTCATCTTTTTGTTAATAACTAGTGAAGTTTAGAACAATTTCTGTTGAACACTAATAAATTACTTGAAGTATTTGCAGATATGAAAAAATATCATCTAGCATATCTGTTGTATGTAAAATTGTTACATACCTCTGCAAGAATTCCATAACTTTATTTTTCTGGTTATTTGTGTTATGTAGTTATGAAATCTTGTTAAAGTTGTAACTTGTATGCATCACAATGTTTTTATATCTATCTATGTATATGTATATATATATATATATATATATACACACACTAGGTTTTAGGGGTTGTATTTTAGGTGGGTTGAGAGG